GCCATCTTACACTCGCAGCAAAGTACAACATCTTACTTGAGAGTGTATCGTCAAGCGAGGGGAGAATCATCAGCTGACTCCTGGTGGCGTAGAGGTACATCACCTTGTCTTGGGACATTTCATACGTGACTTTGAAGACTTTGATGCAGAACTGAACCCAGAGGATGAGTTTGTTGATGAAGTAATTGACCTCTATTGTGAAGCTTCTAAGGATCATCACAAGAATAAATCAAAGAGATTAAAAACAGAACAAAAATAAAATAGAATTTCAAGAAGCACAAGAATATGATATAAAAAGATTTAAATAAACCACATCATTAAATCTGTAACTCTTCAGGTGCCTGCTAAGTTTTGAATGCACTCCAAACTGCTTCAAAAAAAATTCTAACATAGGGGTAAGAAAATACACCAAGGTGAAAATAGAAGGAAGATCAGTCAGAGTCTTCAGGAAGGGTATAACAAACCAAAGACTTACTGTACCACCACTCAAATTAATAATAACGACACCAATTAACCATAATGGATTGATTGGGGATTTACATTGAATTGATAAGTACAATTTACTAAATAGACAAGAAAACATTAGTTCCATGTTTGGTGATAATCGAATGCTTGACTCACAAACTAAAGAGTTGCCCAAGATGTTGTGTATGTATTAGCACTACACCAAAGTGCATCTTTACCCAAGGGCCTAGAAAAATATTATGTATGTAGAAAAGTACCCTTTTCTGCTCCAATATAAGTCCTTGAGTCAAGAAAACTGTATGACCAATTCAAATTCTTGAGCCAATAAAGTGCCGTTTGCACCTGTATAGCAACAAAACTGCCCCTAACCACGTGAAAATGAAGTGATGATTAGAACACCATTTAATTTTGTTGAATTTGACTTTCTAATCAATTCAATATAAAGAAAAACTAACAGAAAAAGTTGAGTATATACAGACTTCACATATTTCAATAGATACATTTCGGACAGACTGATAAAAGGCCACAAAGGAAACAAAAATAAATGAGCAGTAATTGAGATCAGAAGCTAAATATACACGTATCACAACACAAATACATGTAGAGTACTAGGAAGACAACAAAAACAAGTGAGACATAGTTGATCTTTGCGCTGTTCAAAGAGAATTCAAGTTTATATGTAATCTGTGACGCGGGTATTGGCAAAGGAAGGTATTCAAAAAGATCAATATATGGCTTCAACTGCGAGCAATATAATTATTACACTAACCTAGTATAATCGAGCTCAATCTTCAGCTCCAAGGTCAGCTTGAGCTGCTGCCTCTTTGATCTTGCCCTGTCTATCATAAAAGAAAAGATTGTTGATGAGTATGGGTTGTGATGCTGGATTGGAATCATGTCACTTACTCAATTGTAGGAGACGCCAATTTAGGAACCATGGATGAACTTGTCATCTGCACTGACGGTTGACCGAACACGTTAGAGCGTCCTTCACCATCCGCATCATCAAAGGATTCAGAACGAGAGAGAGCTTTCAAGGTGTTGTTGGTGGCGGCAGTAGGAATTGATTCAAAGGCGTCATAGAAGACCTCATCAGAGGTCACAGAAGACGCTGCGAGATGTTCATCATTGCGACCTTCCAAACGGTTTAATGACCATGACCAAGGTTGTCCTAACTCGGCATCCAAGGTGCTCGGCCATATGGCTGTTATCTCATAAAAGCTTCCATTTTCGAGGAGTCGCCAGTGCATCGGGTGGGCACCATACCTCGGTAAGTAATCCAGATACTGTGAGCAAGCTCTGAACCGGTGACCAAAGAGGCCACAGTAGAAGCATTGGTCGAGCCCTTGTTTCACTTGGGGCAACGCCTCGTCTGGTATTTGAAGAGGAGACGCCTCAGACTTTTCACGTTCCAACATCCTGAGTCGAATCCGTTCATTGCGGGTGATAGGTGTGTGATTGGCGGTGAGACTTTTGGCAGACATGATGGTGTAAGTACGTAGGAGGTATGAGAGTTGGGATTGGTATAAGATGGGAACACTTGATATGATGACCGGTTTGTTAAGATCAAAGGATACGAGTCAAAGGATACAATCTGGTGGGGCAGGAAATCGAGGCTGGTCTAGAATGAATTTTTGATGATTGCCCCCAATGATATCAAGGGCATGTGGACATGTATCCATCTACTTGATTCTTGTTGACTTGATCAAATTCAGTCAGTCCTTAGGTAAATCCAAGGTCATCGGCTTTGATTGGTGGCTACCATTGAGAAAGAAAAGCACCGATTGTATGTGTACATTTAAGTGACACTTGTTGATATGATCCACAACTAAATATATCATTTGTACGTACACAGCGCAGGATGATTGGGCAATTCAGTGGACCGATTGAAGGGGTTGTCATGATGGTACAACGTGCTGATTAGGTGGATGGAGAGAACTTTGAGGTGAGAAGTTGATGGAACGGGGTCCGATCTCAAAAGGGTTTTCTATACCCGCAAAAAGCAGCAGGATATATGTTGCTATGCGTTCAAGCTCTTGTACGGATAACATCAAATCATATACATTAGCATTCTTCATTTCTATGGAAATTGATTGAGATCCCCAAAAAACATAATCAAAAATGCAAGTCAAACACTTCAGCCGTCTACTGATTCACCCATAACGATTATGACAAGATGCCTATGATGAATCATCTCTTTCGAATCACACCTCTTGTAAACAACAAATGGTTGCCATCACCTGCAATTGTTGTCACATTTTGTCTCAAAGATTGATGCATCAGGCGGTACGATTCCTACCTTCATCTTTCATGCTTGCCTTATATATTGATCAAGCTTTGCTCATCTTTCACCCCCAACAGTCTTTCAATAGCATCTAATTTGGTGCATAGTTTACAGAGTCGCGCTTTCTTTCAGTTCATGGTCTCGTGGTTATTCCGCTGCTATCATAATCCATTCATACGACCTCGTTTCTCTAGCCTATTGATCATCGCTACTTGTCTCTGCAAGACACTACATCTTTTCTCTCAATTATAATCATTCACCACAGCGGTCGCTAATTCCAATTTTGACTCTACGGTTATTGAGGCCTGTCTACCATCACTACTTACGCCATACCTTTTCAAAAGTCTTTGCTTTATTATATCATTGTACGTGTCTGGACACCACCAACAGAAAAACAATGTGTTGAATCAAACCCCGCGATTAACATAAGTTCTTCTTCTATTCAACCCAATAGCTGAACAATCAACTGAACCATGCTAGATCCTGGCGCACCTGGAGTCACGAAGCAAATGATGCTCGATTGGCTCCGAAAAAATCATCCAAAATCTCCGATTCCATCAACTTTCAACAAGAACCAGGCCGCAGTCAAAGTACGGGAGAAACAGCCTGAGTGTTGGTGCTATATACCTTCAATATCTTACCCATAAACTTATGCATCAAGCTAACAATTTGATTGTGTCTTGTACGGTGTGTTGAAAAGTCTTCCCAGACCCAAAAAGTGATAGGCCTGCAACGTTTATACACGGAGATCTCATATTTGGCTCATCTCGAATTGGCACAAGTGGTATGCAATTCTTACACACAATTTCACACGGTCCTGACCCATTGAATATACTAACACCCCATATATAAGGTCCAGACATGCGGTCTCGACTTCCTTCATCAAAGGAAACCAAGCCAATTTTGCCTCAGCCCAGTCGTGAGGAAACCAAGCCGAGTTTTCCTCAGCCCAGTACTGTCCCTGAAGCTTCAATGGACACCCCAGTGAAACGAGCTGCTTTGCCCACTCCAACCATCGTCCTCCAAAACGCTCTAATATCAGTAGGTGTTTCTTGATTTGCATATTTTTCATCAAAATCCTGCGACCAAGTTATATTCAATTCATCAGGTACTGAAGAATTAGCTCGCCGAATGAACAGTGCACAGAAGAATATGAAGGATAAGAAGGTAAGACTGTTGGCTTTCTTCCTGTTTAAGAGCTCAACTCACGTATCTACCGAGATTTCAGGGCAAGAAAGTTGCATTTTTGCAAGCACCAACTCGAGTGGCATCAAAATCAGTAGTTGATGTCATGGAATTGACTAGCCAGCATGATATCAATTTACTTCGCCGTGAAGCTCCAGCAATGAGCCCCTTGGCTCACCAGATTGTCCCCTCACCGCTTATTGAACAACGAGATATGCTTGAAGTTAAACCCAAGATTCAACCGACACACGATCTGATTGATCTATCGGATGGCGATTTGCTGTCCGTTGGGAACTTAAGTTGGTCCAGTTCATGATGTATCACCGTCCAAATCATCACGTTATTGATTTTTTGTGTGTCAGAAATCAATGTGCCTCCACTCAGATTCCCCACTTCAAAGGTCAAGTCAGGTGTGGATGTGTTCCATGAGGAACAAGCCCGAGCTGAGAAAGGTGAGTTCTTGAATACTGATGACAGTTGCACTAAACACATACTAATAAGTACATGGTTTGGAACAGTTGATGTACTTGAAGCATCAGTCGCGGAGCTATTGAATAAGATAGAATGTGTCAAGAGGCAGGCCTCAGACAACATGGCTCAGTTGGAAGATGAAAAATGGAAGAGAGGAAAGTTGACCTGTATTCTTGATACTTTGATATATTTCAAATTTTGAGAATTCCAATCTACTTTGACAGATCACGAGATCATCGAGAAGAACAAACTTCTCGATGAGCAAGCCGAGTGCATCAAGCACCTAAATAATTCAATCTCAAGCTTGCAAACAAAGGTTGACAGCATGTACGCTTGGTACGATAAAGCCAAAGGTGACCTTGAGACTCATGAACTCTGCATTTATCAGCTGATGCGTACTGAAAATGGTGATGATGATGAAGGTTCAATCCTGGATGATGACCTCGTGGCTAACAAATGATCTTAATGTATGATATAGTGGTATTTAGTCGTGATAGGACCCTGGAAAGCCCCTATATACCCGCCTAATTGGGTATGTAGGAATTGGCCTTTTTGGGTAAAAATGGTCCTTATGTTCTGTGTAGGAATTCTAAAAATTTGAAAAAAAAAGTCACACAGGAGCCTTATTTTGTATGTAGGAATATGTCAAAAAGTGTGGAAAAAAAAATTAGGTTTCTTACACATTAGGTAGGAAAGAGGGTTCTCAGGGCCACCAGGCTACCCACTTCAATACATAAGGTGAGTAGCAATGATCATCGAGTCACAATGAAACCCGATGTTATTGTGTATAGATACCAATCATGATAGTATTGAGTTCGAAGCTCAGGTAAGACAATTTTTTACACATTTTTATGTAAAAGGGTGTGGAAAAATGTCATATTATGACAGTTGATGGTCATTGAAATCGAGATGTCTGACAGTCTGGCATGGGTCAGCAAGAAGGTTGTTTCAACCAGTTTCAACCGAGTCCAAACATTTGAAATGGCCTGAAAGTTGCTGAAACAGCTTGATTCTGCTCGATCACAACATTTTTTTTGTTTGATCTTGATAGTTTTCGTTGATATTAGACACAATTACTATATCTCGCGTAGCAAAAGGAAAAGGTAATGAACGAAAGAAAAAAAACAACCACCAGGATCCTGTGGCTTCTGATCACGCCAATGCAAATGGAGCCACCAAATTGGACCCTCGGACATGTAGTAAATTGGTAGCCATCATGCTGAAAAACTCTGAGCAGATGGACAAGGCTCTGGATCGCTTACATTGATGGAACATTCATGTAAAGCTTGACCTCAATTGGAGTGCAAAAAATACATCAACAACTCTTGACATCGCAACACAAACACTTTATACAAGTGGCAATGTATCAGAAGACAATCCACTTGAAGTAAACAAGTTTGTTGTGGTTATAAAAAACAATGTATGTCATCCCCTGTTTCAAATATGAAGCTGCCGACTCTGATCATTTAATGTACTCTTGATTCGTTTTAGATGCTTTTTTTGGGTAAGATCTGTGCTCTCTACATTTACCAGAATGGTAAGCACGAGTGGATCACCAAATCGTCCACTCGATCTAAGCTCTCATATGCATCTACCCAGCTTTACATGTATAAAGGGAATCCTGGAGCGTGTAGTTTTGAAGAAAACTTTCCAAATCGCCTCATATTCTCGCATCTTGATATAGCAGATATTCACTATGTGTTTCCCCCCACCTCATCAATGAATATTACTGAACCCAAGGCTAACACCATATGGATTCCTCAAGCTTATCGTGCTATGTTAAAGGCTATGAGCCAGAAACAGTACATCAAGGCAATTCTCGAACAACTTGCTGTTGAACACGCTAAAGCTAGAAAAAAATAAGCTATACTTGAATTGTAATATCTAACTTGGTTTTTATTTCTCTCCACCTTATCTAGAGATTTGATTTTGTGTTATTTCTTCAAGTTGTTTCGCTTCATCTCTCCCAAATTCAAAAAAATACCAGTCTCTTTAGTCCCTTTTCTGAAACGTTTGACTGCTCTTTTTCTACTTCTTGATATTGAATTCTCAGACCCTGATCTCCCTCATGTGTAGAGATTCACTTTGATGTTTTTACCTGTTACAGCAGTGGACCAACTGCAGTGGCTGGCCAGGAACTGGAAACACAGTCCCTCCAGTGGCTGGCCAGGAATTGAATTACTCGTTTTTTTTAAAACTCAACTACATAACACTACATAGCTATACTACTCACTAGTCTATTTCTCTCTCAACAACTTCAACTCTTGTGATTCTTCTACCAAATTCCCAAAAAAATATACAAGTTTTTCCGGAAAAAAAATCAAGATGTCTAATTGCTCTGAAACGCCCAAAAACACAGATTTTGAGGGTCCTTATGCAGATGGAAGGAATATTGGGACCTTTCTCCGAAAAAAAAAATGGTCCTTTGTCAACAGGTAGGAATCCGAGTTTTTTTTGTGAAAACCGGCGAAATTTGTGTAGGTAGGAGGGGAAAATTTCGGGATTTCCATTAGGAGGGTATATCGGGGCTTTCCAGGGTCCTGTCGTGATCATATATTCAATCAGTTCAATCCTAGATCATTGTTGGACTAGATTATCATCTGTGACTTTGGTGCTCACTGGTTGGCAACTTTGTATGCGTAGATGAGATCTAGTTTTATTTCCCTCTCATGGGCCTGAACTGTTTTCGACTGCCATGTATTCCTACATAATAATGTGTGGCAGTTGAAACCATAAACTCAAGAGAATTTTATAAAACTCCAATCATGATATCTAATTTTGTCTTTCAACTTTTTTTGATTGTCAACTTTTCATTCATATTCTAAAGGAGCTTTCTGAAATGTATTCAAGCAGATTGACCATCAAGTTAATTTGATAAAAAATGTGCTACATTACGAGAATAAATTGTACAGAGTATGTTACACATAGGATCTAGCAGCAGGCCACCACACTAGCTAGATGTTCCAGATTGCGAAAATATGATATATCAATGATTGGTATATTAGACCCTTTGATATATCATTTTTTCTGTTCACGGACAGCTTGATTACTTTGTGCCCTATGATTACAAAGGATGGCAGAAGCTTCTCGACAGAAGGGTGCCGGCGCAATTTTCAAGACTCGGCATTGGAAGATCATCCATCTCACCACAAGTATGTACACTTTTCTTATGTCCAAGAAAAGAGAAAAGCTTACAGACACTAACCACGCCCATAAAGACAAACCTTACACTACAAAAATCATATTCAAAACCTTCCCTCTCAAAAATCAAAGTACCAGGACACCAGATGGCTTGTTAAAACAGAAACAACATATAGTAGTATATTTATAGGCCTTTCCAAATGTATAGTCGCCACATAAGAGTCAAGTCAATCATTCAACTGATACTGGAAGAAACATAGCTCTGTAAATAAGTAAGGGCTCTACAAGCTATTGTTGAGGTGATGAGGGTACTTGAGCTTCTTCTCCATTGTCTTGAGTTGATGGTGTCGGAGGGCTTGGCGTATTTTTCTCCAAAATCTCCCTGGTTCAAATCAATAGCGTATAAGATTAAAGTTACAAAACAAATATAACGAGAAACATGACTCACTCATGATAATCAGTCAACGCTGAAATGAATCCGAAATTTTGGATAGTTTGATCAAATGTACATTTTCTGCTTCGTAGTAGTGCCATTGCACTTTTCAGCTGAAGCTCGAGCTCATTGCGCTTGGTTGATGAGATTGTAGATTGCCTTAATTTGAGTTGTAACAGCTTGATGGACTGATGGGTTTCTTTGAGATAGGCAAGACTGTCATGGAGGTTATCTTCATGGTGATCTTTAGCGATGGCAATGGCAGAAACCTTGTCGTCATTCAAGAAGTGGTAGGTTTTGATGACACTGCAAAAATAATGTATTTTTCCAAGGTGAAAAATGATTGACATTAATGCACAAAATGATTAATAATGCAGAATTAATGCAGAATTAATGCATTTTTAATCATTTTGTGAAATAAATGTAATCATTTTTCACCTCGGAAAAATACATTATATTTGCAGTGTGAAGGTGTTGATGCTTTCGGATGCATGGCGGAATAGCCCTGCCTTAAGGTTTGACAGACCATAAATGTTGAACATTTCCATCCGCTCCAGGTCGATGTCCGAGCTGGAGTCGATTGTTTTTGGATACTCTGCGACTAAGCATGATGGGAATCGTAGTTTAGGGACTTGTAAATATTTGGTGTTGGAGTGAGAAGGTATAGCTAGATTAGAGAAGCGCGGAGCTACCATTTCAACAAAGATTTTACGAAGGAGTTCATGATCATCTTTGGCTTTTTGAGTGAATATCAAATGAGGATAGAAAGTGGTGATCAATTCTAAAAGTCGGTTGGTAGTAGCTCTACTCAAGAAGGCATCAGGATCAAACTTGCGAGATTTATCGTTGAGAAAGTCGAGAACATAACTAGGTAAAAAAACACAAGATCTTTTGGAATCCATGATGTGAGTACTTCAGCGTAGTTGAAAAATCAAGGACACAAGAGAAACTTCAAGTAGACGTGGCTTTCAAAAATACACACATGGGGATGATTTGAAAATTTGCTCATGATCCCTTGATCCTCCAATCTACTTACGTTTTGCTTGGGAGCGGGCAAACTCCGTAGTGGCCAATTTGAGATCCTCATTTGAGACATTATAAAACACACCACATGGCAAATCTAATAACTTCAACGTAAGCATAAACAAAAGAACACACCGACATCACTGATACATCTCACCGGAAATGAATGTGTATTCAAAGTTGGTGGAAGTCTTAATTATATACTTATACATAAATATGTAAATCAGAGAAATGGATCTCTTAAATTAAAAATTGGGCGGTAGCTGGAGATAGAGGATGGTTAAAAAAAGGAGCGGGAGGCTTGTAGATATTTATGTGCATAGATGAGGTATCACAATATGGCTCTGTATGCTAAAAAAGAGGTGAAAAACACCCTATTTGGAAAAACAAATAGGCGGGAGACAGAAAACGAGAGAGTTGGAACCAAGTGTTTTAAGAGCTGGCATGAATTTGTTGTAAGTTCATCCAAAAAAACAATCAGATAAGATATTGAATTTCTTCTTATAAGCATGCAATTGCAGATCTGAACAATTTGGTTGGTTTACATCCACATGAAAGAGAGAAAAGGGATTCTTTTTAAGCATACAAGAGTAGATCTGAACAATTTTGTTCTTCCAAACCAAAGACAAAAAGTAAAAATTGAAACAATTTTATATCCATGTTCATGCAACCTCATTGAGTGGTCAGAACCAAATTGGTTTTGTAATACAAAGACAGGATAGAATGAAGATTGTACATGAAACTCATTTCGAAGGTATGATGGTGTAGTGAAACCCTGGAATAAGTCTACCCGGCTCCACATCTTCTTCAATTACAAATTTTATGTAAAGATCAACACAAACGGTACGATTGAAGGGAGTTAAATGTATGAAAACTTGAGGAGCGTGGCATTGCAAACTAAAACGTAATTGTTCAATAGTTTTTGACTTGATGCCACCGATGTCCAAGTGCCGGGGCCGGTGAGCAAACTCCTTTGCTTCTGGCACAACTAAATCTGGATCAATGTACGCCTTGTAAAGTAGGTGCAAACTGTGGCTGTTAACACCGGCAGGGATAGTGAGGCCGGGTTTCTTGCGTTGAATGGCTTCTTTCAAGACACGTTGAGGGGCGGTCAAGGGATCAAAGTCACCAAGATCGGTTTCTATGGGAGTTGGCGGAGGGGGACTAATGAAAGGACGCAGATGTGGGAGCAGCTCCGTTTCAAATGCATTCACTAATTTATCTCTAAGGTGGGTGACTCGATGCAAGGTTTTGGGGTTGAAGTGTAAAAGAATACGGTAAATTTGATCTTTGTGGATTTTTGTCTTGGATATCTCGTATTCATGGGAAAGGAAGATATGTAGATTGTTGTTTAAACTGTTCACATGATTCCATAACGGATGTAGCCGAAGATTGTCCGGGTTGCTATTTGAGGGGCGGTTTGGTGCTGGCGGAGGTCCTAGTGAAATCGTCACTTCTTTTTTTGGCATTCCAGCGTAGCTAGATCTCTGTGCCTCCAAGATCATTTGCGAGACAGTTACTGGCAAGGTTGACTTTTTCTTGCCTTTCGTCATCTCTGGTGGAGTTGACTTGTTAGACAAACATCTACATATACAAATATATAAGGGAGAAACACACCTTGAGTAAATCTTTGATCCAGAGATGGGATATTTTGGTGTCGCTGTGAGGTAAGACTGGTGATCAAAACTAGAAACTGAGTGAACATCGGTGAGGTCAGAGAAACATTTGTACAGATATATGTGACGTGCAGTGAGACTGCGAGATGAGTGAATAACATACCTTAAACAAATCTTTCAAGTTGAGATGTTAAATCTCTACTTTCACTGGGAGGTGAGGGATGAATGTTGTACGATTCAGTGAGTGCCATGGGTGGAAGGTGAAGGGAGGTAAAAGGTGAAAAGACTCAGTTATTGTCTTAGAATGATACGATTGGAATTTAATGGTATGTTCACTTACAAAGTTTGGCAACCTAAACTAGCAGTGTGTGCAAAAGTGAGTTTGTCTGAACGTTGATCTTCGGCGGAGATTATGACTAGAAAGTATATGCACAGCAAAACCAAGTGAGGCTTCAGCTTTTCAGAAACAGTAGGCAGAAGGATCATGAATTGATCTGGAAGAAGATGATGAAAAGGAGTTGGAGACAGGATCAAGACGCAAAAGGCAAACCTTGAGAGGGTGTAGTGCAGAAAAAGGTTCCGCAAAAGTACTAGAAAAAGGATACTTGTACTATCAGATATCTGAGGGCATATCTGACTGGCTTGAGCGGGCAACGACGAATAGTAATGAGCAGGCTGTTAGTCCTCAATTCAGGCTAATATATATATTCATGTACAGTATGCTGATCAGTATTCTCAAGATGAACCGTGGTAAGTCTTTCTTTGTTTGCTGATCAGTAAACAAAGAAAATGGTTGGGCGATTGGAAATGAAATAGTACTCTGTGGTACAAAGGGCCGCTGGTAGTTTGGTCACCAGTGGCTTGAGGTAGAGAGGGTCACACATCGGCACCAGCGCTCATGAAGAACGTGACGTAGGTGCCGATATATGTTGATGGTCACTGTGAAGGAAGTGGTATCCTGCATATGCAGGAAATTCTTTGTCCTTATCGTGGGGAAGTAATTAAAGTGTTAAAGCTGGATTCTTTGTTTATGTGGTGAGAGAAGTCCCTCTTTGTTTCGTATCTGAGATGAGAAATTCAACAGTTACTTACTGTTACGTACAGAAGAAAATGGTTTGATAATATTTTGATTGAGTGACTGATCAATCAAGTCACATTGGACAGTCGGAGTAGCATATGTTGTACGTCAAATGATCAATGTAGCTATGGATTTTCAGGATTATGTAGTTATGTACTCACAAAGGAACCTTATACCAACCATTGTTGGTATAGATTTGGGGGGTGAGTCGATCAAGTCACATTGAAGACCCCGAGTAGCATACTTTGCATGTACAACGTCAGTATCCATGGCCGCAAGGATCCTGGATGAGTGACCAGAACAAAGCTGGACATATGAAAGGGCACAACAAATTCGGTTGAGGAGAGCACTGGGACATGTTGATCTCATGTGTGTTGTGCCAGACGTGCTTTTATACAACTCACCTTTCTGATCAGTCCCTCAGTAGCTCATTTTTTTTTGCATCCTCCAAGTCGATATCTTTTTCTTATTCTAGAGTATTGGAGTGTATTATTTTAATTGTTGAGCAATTTAGATACAGTAATGAAATCATTACCCTTAAGATAGATTTTCGACATAAACTGTTTTTGTTTTTCTGATCTCACTGTGATGTCTTCAAGTCCTGCACCACCTTCTGGTCAAACTCTTCGAAGCCACCGTCGAGCCTCACAATTACATTCCCAAGTCCGCGAACAATCAGGTCCTCCTTTAGATATCACAGCTCCGTCACTATCAACAGCCGCTGCACCCACCAACACTGGCCTGAAGAAGAGGAAAGCCAGCCAAATTACATCAACAGATCCGAATGATGGTGAGCTCTCAAGCTTCTCTTGAATCATCATCACATGAGCATTCTCCAAAACTTACTGCTTTGTTCAACACCTAAAAGCCTCAATTGATGCCGCCTCAATCGCCGCCGCCTCTATCGACACCGGTATCCCTGATAACTTAGGGTTCACCATTGTAAGTAAGACGCCTCGTAATAGGCTACTGGAACTCCTCAATCAGTATGGAAAACCCAAGAGACCTCGTCGATCCGAAAGCGCCCTACCAAAAAGAATTCCTTCAGCTCCAGAGGTTAGGTCAAGGCGAAAAACAACCGAGGATCCTCAAGTTGTGCTCTCTCAAATCACAGCAGCAGACGTGGACTTCAATACATACACTACGTCAGACCTTGCTAAGATGGTGGAAGGAGTTGGCTTGGACGGAAAAAAAATGTCTAGGGAAGCCCTGGTGCGGGCTTTCCAAGGGCATCGGGAATTGAGTATGTCTTACATTTATGTATCCACGGTCGTACAAAATGCTTACTTCTTGGATAAATCTTTCCCAACTAGTTATCTTACCCAGCGAAGGCTTTGCTTTCACATTCACTGAGAAAGCGCCGTCACACCAGTCTGCTGTCACCGAAACTCAAGGTTAAATTTCCATTCAATACTCATCAAATGCATTCAATTCACTGATGTTTGGGATCCATCTGGTTCAGCTACTCATCCACCTGAGACGTCTGATCCGAAAGAAGACACAATTAGCCAAAGAGCCCGGAAGGGTAAAGGTAAAGCTACATCTCCGGCGCCTTCTTCATGTTTGGAATCTGGAGTTCAAGAGGTGTTATCAGAGTGTAAGTTCAGGTCAAGTGGTGTTCTTGATGTGAAATCCATGCACATGCACATTCACTGACGACATCTCATATATCCTAATTTGAAGCTCTCATCTTGCAAGCCGACCCGTCTAGTCAACAACTATCAAGCCCTTTAGTTGAACCTTGTAAGTAGAGTTCCACCTCTTAGTCATATTAGCCTTACAAAAACACTGACCATGACCGTCCTTCAAAGTTTATCCTTTGCAAGCTGGGTCATATCGTGAGGTTGGAGCAGCAGGTAAATCAGCAGGACCATGTGAGTAGAACATTTGTCTTCAGTCTGGCCATAGAAGCTCATCATACTTTTCCAGCCTCCTTGCAAAAAAAACAACTTCAAAGAGTCAAAGCAAACCAAGTGGCAAAAAACGCCCCTCAATTCATGGTAATGAAGCCACACCTACAATCCCCAGTCTCCAGCATTCTCGCTTGCTTTACCCTCGACCACCTGCTCACCGCAATTCCCAGAAACAAAAATCGTCTCAGTCCGATGATGATTGGTCTCCAGAGAACAAAGCTACTCACGATCCAAGCGACTTATCTGATACTTCGAATAGGGCAGACAATTCTGATGACCTAAGGTTATCCCCCTCTAGCGCCACAAAGTCCAGAAAACGAAAAGCCTCGTCCAAACCCTCAAGACCTCCTGGTCCGGCGAGCCTTCCAACAAGCCCTGTTAACCCTTTGCCTGATTACAATGATATAAGAGGTGCAGAGGCAGATTCTTGTGATGAACCTGAGAATGAAGAAGGACGACGTAAAAAAACAGTTTGTAAGTTACCTGCTCATATCATTTGGACTTCTACATACCAATACTGATGCTTGTGATTGTCGAGTAACACCTTAGTTCGACTAAAACATGCCTTGAATGAAACCAACCAGCCGCTTGACAAAGCAGAAAAACGTTTGAAGGTGCTAGAAAGTATATGCAGCATGTCCGCTGACGTCAGACAGAGTCCTTCACCTTCCAAAAAGACTCGAGGTGGCAGGTCCTCTGTGAGTTAACTTTCTATCTTGGGAGTGAAAAACAAGGAGCTGATTCCGCTTTGTAGGCTTGGATGCGAAAGCATATTGACACACTTTAAGGTCAAAGACCCGAGGATTCCAGACTCCCTCCACCTGCAACTGATGCTGAACAGGCGGCTTGGAATTCAGATATTGATGTTGATATCCTGAACCCTGATACTTCCCACCCCCAACCAGCACCAGCCTCTTCGAATCCATCCTTCCCGTACCCTTGTGGCCCCGGGCACGTGGAAGCTACCGCTCAACAGCTGGTGGTTATGTGCAGCATGATGCAAGCAGCTAGAGTATCCAGTTTTCGGCCCAACTTTTCGAAACCACCGACCTCCAAAGAGAACAAGTTCCTTTGGGCTCTTGCCTTTTGGATCTTTGTCAAGCTTGTTGAATGTGGTGAGTATAGCGGAGTATCCATCGATACTGAAAACATACAGCATCTCAAAAAATCAATGAACACACGGATACGATCACTCACAAAACAGTACGTCCACCCTTCATCACCACAATGTCACGCTCAACTTCTTGTCAACCCGATATCTATAACCCTCAATCATTCAGGTATCAGCAAGAGGCATGGGCTGATGATAGAAAGAAGTGTGCTGCCTCTAATGCCCGAAGTTGTGCTTGGCTACGATATGTATGTATTTTTTCTCTTGTGGATTTCCAATCCAAATGACTCATCAGCTCAATCCACATTCAAACAGTTGAAGAAGAATCAAGAACGTATTGTACTGCCACATCAATCTTTATGGTCGCTGTCGCCCATCATACAGTCAGCATGTAGTGACAATGGGACTGAACACAAAGATTGTCAAGAACTCTTTCCTGACAAACACAAATCGCCTTGTCACATCCAAAAGCTCACTTGGCGTAGTGACGCATTGGAACACATTTTCATCATCTTAGACAAGTATAGATCACGAATAGATAATAGTATTCCCAAGCCGAATAAATCATCCAAGAAACAAAACACCAGCCAGGAAAATCAGAATTCATCAAACGCAAACAATGGGCGTCCCCCACGACGACGGCTGTGGTGCTCAAATGGTTCAATGACATCGTTACCTCCTCCTCAAGGTCTTCCTGTTGATTGTTACTCATCCAAATGGCTCGAAACACTGACAGCAGCAGAAAGGAGTGAGCTTGAAATTGACCCAGTACCAATTCTACCCTCTCTTCTATCTGCTATCGAATCTCTTTGATTCATAACTTCCTTTGGAAAATCTTGTGCCTTAAAACTTCAACGTATGCTGGCCATGCTCGAAAGTATTTCATCCATTTTTTTTCTTTCACTATACTTTCAGTACAAATTTATTTCATTTTCAAAGGTCGTATGTGTAATGTATGTTTGAAATATATACATGGAAATGTTACGCGCACATCATTTGAACAAAATTAATCTCCTCACCGGTCCATAGATAATAAGGCAACTGTTGCGACTGTCAAATTCTTGTGAATTGTCCCAGGTTTGTACAGGATCCATGCGCAGTGAGCTACAACTTCATCCAATCTAACCAATACACTTTCTGGTTCATCCCACAGTCTCAACTCAACTTGCATATCTGGTCCATTGACTCTTGCAAACGGATTATGTTGACTGGGGGTGAGTGGGCGGACAGCTTGAACACATAACCAGGAATCGATTATGTTTGTGTTCTTTTCTGGGCTTCGGCTGTGTACAAAGATTGAGTGAATGCAACCAAAGCTCATGAGACCCTTTTCAAGTGACTTGAATACAATGAAGCTGTCTTTCCTACTAGCTTTGAAAGTTGC